AAAGAGAGATCTCAGTGGCGACTGGGTCCTTTGATATGAATCGCGATGAATTATGAGTAGTAATGTTATGTAATGTATTAATCATGATTAGTAGTGTATGTCATAATATGAATCATGATTTTTGAGTCCTGTGGACGTGGACGTCCGAAATAACACCCTGAGTTGTGGGATCCGGGAGATTAACTTAATGTGTTACGCGATTGTGACACGTTAATCTCGTTTTCATGGGGAAAAATAAATTTTCCTAGTACTATAAATAGGGTTATAAACACGTGATGGGTCACACAACACCCAATCCCGCAGCTGTCCAAAGCCCTTTTCCGTGCGTCGTATGTGTGACAGAGGAAAATTTGTGCATTCAGATGAGGTTATGCCGCGAAAGGAAATATATGATTGCAGAACTCGGAAAAGGCATTTAGATGCCTTACGCTCTGTACCTCTGGGTTTCTTAGAGCTCAGCGACGGCCGACTGAACAACTGACGGCTTTCTAGGGCATGTATTAACAACGCTGGACAGCGGTCGATACCGCTCACACGGCTCTGAACGCAATCTTTTTTGCGTTGTCAACATGTGGCCACAACGTTGGACGGTCAGTTAAAACAATACACGTTGTTGAACTTTGAAAATACTCAATTGCCTACAAAATTGTGGCTCTAACTGCTTAGCTCGTTAAACAGTTGAGAACATAGCAATAAAATGAGTTAAATAAGCCTGATGAGAAAAGCCGTTCCAGCTGCTTCATACGAACCATGGAATAGCTGTGAATCAGGATTCACAGCTATTCTGATTCTACTGGAAATGATTGCCGATGATGGAGACCTCAGCATATTATCTGCTTACAAAATTGCACTGGGAATTTTCTCCAGAATTAAACTGAACGAATTTAGCCAGGGACTTGTCTTGAAATTCCCAACAGCATGTTTAAATCTCCGTTAGGAGCAGGAGAGTTTGTCTCCCTAATTATTTTGGCTTACGTCTATGACTTACCGACTTGCCTTGCAGCGCCTAAAAGTATATATCATCTGTTCTGAAAAATTCAAGAAGTTTCTGAAGCCCTAACCCAGTTCACTGACAAGCTGTAGGGATGAGCTACTGCTTGGAACATACCCCTCAATCTCGAGAAGGTGTCGCCGGACAAGAGAATTCTGATTGTCTTCCGCGATACAGCTCTGCGAACGTTTGATGAAGTGAGCGATCTCGGAACCCTCTGTTAAAAACTGTATACTGAGTTCCACATAAGCACTAGTGTTCGAGAGGCTTTCTGCGCTCTTCTTGCATTTTTTGAAATACTCGGTGCAAAGGATTAAAAACATTTCTGAGATTCTATAGAGCCTATGTCATTCCCATACTGGAGTATGGATCGCAGATTCGGAGCCCGCATGCCAGGAAACTTCAAGCAAAGATTGAGAAAGCCCGGCAGACTTTCACAAGAGTGGTTCTTTGTGGATGTGACACGGACCTAGTATTCTATGAGTATGCCATAGTACAAGGAGCCCTTACGTCGACTAAATCTTAAGACCCTTCGTTAACGGCGTGTTTTCAATGAAGTAGTGTTTTGTTTCAAGATGCTCCATGAAGAATAGAGCTCAAACCAAGCCACACTTACAGGACATTTGGACCTTGCAAAGGACGCAAGCATTACTCTCCTTGCAATGTTCCAGACTCTCAAAAATACAGTAGGCAAAATTCGAACCTCTCTCTTCTTTCGAGGGCGTGGACTCAAGCGATGCCTCGTGAATTACCAGAAACCTGGCGCGTTAGCATTTCCGATAGTAGATTGAGTGAAATAGGCTCGCTAGGGCTTCCGGAAATTTGTGATCTCTAGCAATGCCGGAAGAATTGAATTTTCTTAATTTTATTCTTCTTTCCTAGCTAGCTAGCTCTTTTTTTTTCTTTTTTCCTAGCTAGCTGATAAGATCCAGTGGAGACACTGTGTCGAACCTACTCACGACGCCACAACAATTCTAAATGGAAGTCGAAAGCGGGGGAGCATCCCTCAGACGGGATTGATTAACGCCAAAAACTTTATCCTTCATTTTTTATCTATCGCTCGACTAATTTTACGTACAAGGGGAGGCAGCCACTTCAGATGACTAAACATTTAAATAGCGAGTTAAGCATCTCTCCTCGCACTATGATGTACTGCGATGTTTAAATTTTTTTTATTAAAGATAACAACAAAGCGGTAAAGCTAAATGGAAAGGATTCGTTGATAAACAAAGTTTTGATCTGCAAAAATCCAACTTGGCTGGAGCGCCATCCATTCAGAGTGCACACAGTCATGGTATCCTGCTCGAAGCTCTTCATCCTAAATAGACATGTGAGCCTCTTACAACTGCTCATCCAAGCGTTTATCCTAAAGCTAATTCGGTAAATATTCCTATCTGTTTTTCTACTTCTTGAGTCGGGAGAACGTCCGTTGCGCGCGTCCGTCGAAAGTAGGTCACCCCGCCCACTTCGCCTGCGGCGCACCCCACTGAGGTCTCGAGATTGCATTACAGTACCACCAAGTGTCAATGGAGCAAACGAATTGCATTTGTCCGTGTTATCTTCCCTCTGAGCTGACTTCCGTGGACCAAACGCAAATCGTATGGCCCACAGACAACTGCGACATCCGTCAAGTATTGCGGGCTGACCTGCCGCATGCAACAGCTGCGGCGTGACCTAATTTCGACGGACGCGCGCAACGAAGCGCACCCCTTGAGACGAGACCATGTACCGCTGGTCNCTGCGGCGTGACCTAATTTCGACGGACGCGCGCAACGAAGCGCACCCCTTGAGACGAGACCATGTACCGCTGGTCACATTCATGAGAATAGTAGCGTACGTGGTGAATCCATTCCAAAGGATTTGCACCTACGGACCTCGAGAGCCCCCTATGTTCAAGCTCTATCGGAATGAACCGATTTGGGAAGTACGTACTTCTCGTGGATTACATTTCAGACCCACGACAATTTGGGATCGGAAATACGCGCTACCATGCCGTCCCATTAACTTTCCAAGACCACCCATTATGTTGTCCACAATGTTATTAAGGTATTAATTCAACGATAATTACGAGCACACTCACGGGTTCCAACAAAGACGCGATGAGTCGACGGCATGCTGCAGAAGGTATAAAGTCAGGGAATGACAGTGATGTTTTCGGCACATTGGGCGGATTGGCCTGCAAGGATCGTATCAACGAATTCTCTGGACCTCTGAATGGAATATAACGAGTAATATAAGGTGGTTCAGAACACGAAGTGGGTGTTTGACAGTTGTCTAGAGTTTTTTCGCTCAATTATTGTAGGCCATTACAAGAATCTCGAAAATTTATGCCACATTTTGCCATAGAGAAGCAAGCTAGAAGCTAATGCACTGCGTCATTGACTGGAAACTGTGGGCTTCTGGAAACAACAAAGTTGAAGTCCCTCTCCATAAGTGTTGCTTTTGAAGCACCAAACTAATCATGGAAAAAAGGAAAAATCACGGCGGGGGGAACACAACTGTTCGATTTTGAGAGTATATTAGCTCAACCCCGTACATGGGTTCACCTTGTCGCGGTGTATGGCTTGAGGCGAGACTGGGATCCCGCAAGGAAAAGGCCCCGCCGAACCCTCTGGCCGGCTCTCGTGACCAAAGAACCCGAAATGCTCAAGCTCATAGTGGGACGGTGCCCTTCTTGAGCAACAGGAACGCTCCAGCGAGGCTATCCTGTGAGACGAAAAATGCTACGACCACTTCTGCC